CATATAATAATAAAAATTCCAGAAATTCAATACAAGAACAGAATATTAAAAGCTGTAAGAGACAAGAAACAGATCACTTACAAGGGAAGACCCATCAGAATTACAGCAGATTTCTCTTCACAAACCATCAAATCACGAAGAGCATGGGGAGAAATAATTCAAGCTTTGAAAGATAATAATCTACAGCCAAGATTGAGATATCCTGCACAACTGTCCCTGGAAATTGATGGAAAAACGAGGTGCTTCCAGGATAAAGAGGAACTGGGGGAATTTGCAACCACCAATTCAACCCTACAGAAAGTATTGCAGGATATTCTAAAAAAAGAAAAATACAAAGAACCCAGAAATAGGGGCGGGGAGGCCACAACGAATGGAGCAGAGAACAAAATGAAGAAGACAAACTGACAGCTACTGACAGAAAAAGAGCTCAACAGAAATGAGACAGAAGATTGGATGATAGGAACAGCTTTTTTTGGAGAAAATGACATCTTAATAGGTAATGCTGATTTAGTACCATCTTGTTTTGAAGTCTCATCTAGCTTTTGTTCTTCTGTCTCCAATGGTCTAAACAGGTTGTATCTTATTGGATTTTGTTATGTACGATAGTATAAGAAAAAACCTTTTAAAGACAAGGAGATTATACAGAGACAATTGTTCATTTTCTGTTAGTCGATTCTAAATACTCTATAATGCTGTCATTCTCTTAAATGGATTTACATTGTTTTGATATACTTAATGCTACAGTATATGAAGTTGTACTCAAGGACTTCAGGGAGGGAGTCAATATGGTAACTATTTTTGGGTCAGGATTATCTGGTGGTGAAACACTATTCTGCTTAAATGGTTATGTTTTGATCTGCCCTGTTTCGCTGTTATGCCCTCCTTTTTCCTCAATCTCCACTCCATTATTTACTTTTTTATTTTTATCCATTTAATTAAAGGGAAAAATATAGCAGGATATAATATAGTAACCCACTTTGACTATTATCTCGATTTGAAGCCCTGTATTACTCTCACCATCTTGTTTTTGACTGAGGTTCCTATATTCTGTTTTGCTGGATAGTATCAGGTTCGAAAGTTTAGGCATCAGCTGAGAAGATAATGAGATTCATTATAACGCCCATTCTCGTTGACTTTTATCTACTTTTGAAGACCTACAATATCTCCAATGTTTTGGTTTTGTCGGTTTTATTCTTTACGGTTTTGTTCAATTGTATTACAACTAATGATATAGGCAATTCTATTAGAAATAGCGGGAGGCATTATGGTAACCATTGTTGATCACCTTGTATTATGTTTTTATATTATCTATTATGTCCACCCTTTTGACTTGACCGATTCTGTTCTGTTATGTCACATTTGGTTTTACTCTCTTCCAAAAAAGCAACAAGAACCGTGGGAGCAATGAAACCCAAAATGTGTAATAGTCACTGTACAAAAGAGAGGAAAAGAAAGTGCTCTAAACTATATAACTGCATGTATATTTAAATGTATAAGATAGAAAATGATATCACAGAGTTTTATTGGATCATTGAACAGAACTGTTTGCAGTATCATTGTTGGAATGTCCACTCTACAAGCTTTAATTTTGTGACTTAAACAATTATTTCTAAGATGGCAATATGTAATCCATTAACTAGTGATTTCCTACTGCGCATTTTTTTATTCTGTAAATCTGTATAACTTGTACCCCTTCACTGTTTTTTTTTCTTTCTTTTCTTTTCTCCTTAAATAAAAAAAAAAAAAAAAAGAAGAAGAAGATGGAAAGATAGGCCCCATTTCTGGGTAGGCAGAATCAGTGGGATCAAAATGGTCATAGTTCCAAAATAGATGTACAGAATTGATGCAATCCCAATCAAAATCCCAAAAGTGGAGAAATCACTCCAAAATTCATATAGAACCAGAAGATTCACAGACTAGAAAAGCATCACAATTCCACACTTAATATTATATTACCAAGCTACTATGATTAAAAAACAACATGGCACTGGCACTAAAACTGATGTGTCAGTAGAACAGAATAGAGGATGCCAGAAAATTACCAAGCACATTTAACTCTTTAATCTTTGACAAAGGAGCCAAAAAATTTACAGTACAGGAAGTACACCTGCTGTGACACCTGGTTATCCACATGTCAAAGATTGAACATAGACCCAAGTCACAAAGGATCAAAGATAAAAGAGAAAGATGCTCTTGGGAGACAAAATACATAAAGCCATTGAAATCATAGGCATAAGCAAGTGCCTTTGAACAGAACACTGACTGCACCCAAAATAGTTCTGATAATCAAACAGTTGAATCATAAAAATTGAAAAGATTCTGCACAGCAAGGAAACAGCCAAGAGTGAAAAGATAACCTACAAAGTGGGGAAAAAAACTTGGGCCATTCATTCCTACTACAAAGAATTCAGAAAACGTGATCACCAAACATAAAAGAACCAACCCAAAACATGGGCAAGTGAAATATAGATACATCACAGAAGTACAATTGGAAAATAAATACAAGTAAAAATGCTCAACATTAGAGATATACATTGACCATTAGAGAAATACAAATTAGAACACTGAGATTCCATCTCCAGAAAAAAATGGCCATCATCAATAAGCCAAATAATAAGGAATATTGCCATGGATCCTGAAAAAGGAAACTCTCATTGATTGTTAGTGGAAATGTAAACTTTTACAACCATTGTAGAAATCAGTGTGGAAATACCTAAGAAAAAAACTAAAATTTGATATTCCATTTGACCCAGCTCTTCTCCCTCTAGATGTTTTCCTGAGTTAAATACGTCACATCCAGTGATACTTACATACCCATGTTTACACCAGCAGCATTTATGATAGCTAAATCTTGGAAGCAGCTTGTATGTCTATTAATGAATGCATAAAGAATATGTGATTTTTTACCTCCATCACAGAAAAATTTTCACAAGTAATCAACTGAGAATTCCTCATATTAAAAAGCTATTGTACATCAAGAAAATCATCAACAAAATGAAAAGACAGCCCAAAATGTGAAATAGTTTTGCCAGCTGTTCTTCAGAAAAAGCAATCATATCTAGAACATATAAAGAAAAATCAGACCCCTCAAAATTCAAAGATCCAATCAAAAAATGGGCATCTAATATGAATGCACACTTCTCAGAAGTAGTACAAAGGGCAAATAAAGTTACGAAAAAATGATCAACATCACTGATCATTCCAGAAATGAAAATTAAAATAATACTGACATTCCATGTCACTCCAGAAAGAATTGCTATTATCAAGAAAAAAAAGCTATTAAATGCTGGCAGTTTTGTGGGGAAAAAGGAACAATTTTACACTGTTAATGGAAATAAAACCTAGTATAATCACTGGAAGTCAGCGTGGAGCTCCCTCAGAAAACTAGGTGTTCCCTTTCTGGGAATCTTGGTGGAAGAATTAGAAGCATCATATGACAGAGACATATACACACTCATGTTTATAGCAGCACAGTTTATAATAGCTACATCTTGGAAGCAACACAAATGCCCATCAACACATTACTGGATAAAAAGATGTGGTATTTGTAATATAATGGAGTATTGCTCAGCCATAAAGGACAAAGTTGAGACATTTATAGCTAAGTGGACAGTTCTTGAGGACATAGGCATAGGTGAAATAAATCAGACACTATAAATTCCCATTATCACTCTAGAGTGAGAAACAAATTGTAAATAAAACAAAAATGCATAATAGATGTTCAAAAACAGGAACAAACTTTTCAAAAGGAAAAGGGAACTAAGAAGGATGAAAAGACAAAAGGAAGGGAAAGAAAAAATCAGATAAAATGAAAACAGAATTTTGTTAAGAATATACCCATTAGTGAAATAAATAAGACACACATGTAAATATCATATTGTCTCATTAGTATGACAAGCTGAAAGAAAAACATGTATATGTGTATGTATATATATATAAAAATAGTTAAGATAGTTATACTACTGATTTTTCTGAGTTTGCTGAAGAGAAAGATTTATACTGGTATTTTTCAGACAGTTGAAGGCACATGTCTTGTGATTTGGGGATGACAGTGTGCAATGTGTGCACCATTGTTACCCCCTAATGGACTTATTTTAAATTTTTGTGGTAGTTCTTTATTTCCTTCTTTTTCCCTTTTTATCTATGAATAAAGTGGATTTGAAAAAAATAAAACAAATTTGTTAATAGAGCAGGAGAGGGTGGGAAAGGGGAAAAAGAGGAATCAAGATGTATACAAATACAAATTCTGTATAATGAATGTGATCATTATACATACCTAAATTGTGCATAAGCTTAAAATTTTAAAAATAAATTAGCATTTGACCATGAAAAAAATGAATTTTTAAAACAACAGAGTACTACTGTGTCATAAAAATAACATTGATTTGTACAAAAATGGATGTATCACACTGGGCAAAGTAGCATGTGCCTGTAATTACAGCACTTGGGAAGCTGAGGCAGGAGGGCTGCGGTGAGATGAAGTCCAGCCTGAAGTACATAGTAAAAATAAAAAAAAAAAGAGAGAGCAGTAGAGATTTAGCTCAGCAAGTGCCTGCCTGGCGAGCACAAGGTCATGAGTTCAATCCCCAGTACCAAAAAAAAAAAAAAAATTGGGTGTACCCTGAGACCATATTGGTAAGTGAGATAAATCTGACACACAAACATAAATACCACTATTCCTTTTCTATGAGAAATCCAAAGTATAAATAAAGAGTAAAATAAAAGTAGATCTATACAGAGAGAAAGGTCTTTCGAGAGAGTGAAACACCTCCTCAAAAGATGGAGAGTGTGCTGAGGGAAGAGTAGAAAATGGGATGAAAAAAAAAGAATTAAGTTGTGCTATGTACATGAACCAATTCAAAATGAGTAAAGGAAACTTTGTATACAACCAACACGTACTAATAAAAATAAGATAAAACTGATCTTTGAATCCCAATCTGGAAACAGCAGAATGAAGTGAGTGAGGGAACAGAAACAGGGAAAAAACAACCAAAGGCTTAGGAGGAAGGTGCCGATTTTTTCTGTTATTTGGCAGATGATGAGGCTTCTGGGGCCCACTTGAGTCAGTAGCTCTCATTTACAGACATGGAAGAATGATTCAGTCTCTATTTACTATAAGAAGATAACAAAAAGCAACAAAAAATCAAAAATTCCAAGAACCTCAAAAGTATCTCCATATCATTTCCATCTGCTGCTGTGATATTTGTCTTCTTCCTCCTTGTGATCTTGTTGTTATTCCTTTTGTTCATCATTTTGGGAAAGACGAGATTCAGGCGGGAACCACCCTCGTCTACCCCCTCCTCCAGGTGTTTCTTGAGCATCTGCAAATTAGGGAACACCTGGAGGCAACTCATGCACCTAAAGCCACTGTACATTTGCTCCAGCTCTGCAGATGTTGTGGCACTGGGACCCACCTCCTGGGCCAGATTCTCAGGTGGCTTCTCAGCCTCTTCCTTTTTGCCTTGCTGTTCACCATCCAAGTTGCCCTCACCAAGACTTAAGATACCTGTGAGGTTCATGGAAGCGAAGCTGACTTTTGGAGGGTTCCTCTCCTGACAGACAGCATTTCCTATTTTTATCATCTTTGCAGGAGGCTCCAAATCTTCTTTATCCTCCAAAGCATCCACACCCCTTTTCACTGGGACAGTCTTGTAGTAAACATTCATTATTTTTTCCTTTTCAGTAGCTACTGCAGACACCAAGAGGTTATTGGCTGAGGAGGAAGGTAAATCACAATGCGGCATGGAGGAGGAATTCTCTGTCTCCATGAGATCTTGATTTGGAGGCATGTTGGAAGATCCAGGACCTGGAACACATTGAGGTAGTGTCTTGGTGTATAGAAAAGAAAGCTCCAAAACTAAGATGATAATATCCTCAGGTGGGGACACATAGAGTATCTGTGATATTCAGAATTCTATGTGTGTTGTGTTATGTATGTGCATCATACCTTTATGTAAAAATGGGTGTGAAAGCCATCTAGAAAATATATATCACATGTACATACATGTATGTGTGTGTATGTATATATGTATTGCAATATACATTTGGTGAATGCTTTTGGTACTGGTAAATGCAGATAGAACTGAATGTGTATTCACGTATGTGATACTCTGTGACAGCACATGTGATCCACTGTGTGAGTAGTAAATGTTGGCAGATGCTGTAACAGCAGCCATACATGTTACAGGAAGTGTTTTTATGTCAGCACATGGAGCTCTAGGAAAGACTGATGCCATGGTGGAAGATACAGTGTTGGGGTGAGAAAAACACACTTTGAAAGGGCACAGGAGTTCTCTAGTGTTTTGTCTACCAGTAGCATTAGGGAGTTAAACAGGTCCATGTGAGGTGATGTGCTGTTATTTACAGATTAAGTGTAGAGAGGCGAGTGTGAGAATGAATTTAGGAATGCAGGCGTAAGGCCATACATATGTAATGCCCGTAGGAACTGGGTCAATGTGGAGAGAAGAGATGGTTGTGAGCAGAAAGGGAAAAAGGAAGCGAAACTGACCTGTTCTTACTATAAAGGTGTGTGAAATGTGAGTGTGAGCTGAGTGTGCATTGATCTGAGGGAGAGGCTCTGATCCCATCCCCTGCACATCCTCACATGGGCCAACACCTCACCCACATCTGCCTCTGTATCCATGTGGAAATGTGTGCTGAGGAGCTTTGCCTCCTCTGCAAGGCAGATTTCCTATCTGTCACCCTCCCCAGAGGAGTCAGTCTTCATCCCTCTTCCCTGAGGCCCTGCCCTGGATGTGAAGGAAAGGTGAAGTGAGTAGGGTGGGGAGGCCGCTCAGCTGCACCTGTTGTCCACGCTGAGGTCACCTTTGTGTCTGCCTTACTATCATGGTCCACAGAAATGTGCATGCTTGAATGCAAAACGCAGGGCAAATGTTCTGAGGCTGACAAAGTCTCTCCTGCATCTAGACTTGAGCTTGAAGCCACCTCATGTGTCTCAGAGGCATGATCTGGAGAGTGTTCCAATTCTGGAGAGTTAGAGAAACAGCAAAAATAAACATATTGATTCACAGCACATTCTAGGTTCTGTCTCATTCCAGAACAAACATATTTCTGGCATTGTTTCCATCCATGGTAATTCCACACAGAAAATAAGTAATAGTATTTTAAACTGTGTATGTGGCATTATTCACTGTGATTAGGTATCATGTGTATATTTTTGGAAATGTATATAGAATTATGGAACTTGACTATGCTTAAAATATGGTATACATTAACTACTAATATAATTATTGGCTCAACTTCCTGCTAATATATTGTACAAGTAAAGACAATGGTGTTCAAATTTTATTGAGAATTGTGTATGTTGACACAGTTATTTTGGCAAATGTAATACACACAAAGGCACTGATTGAATGTGGATAGATGATGATTAACTATATACGAAGATAAAAATCATTACATGATGTTATTTCTGATGTCTAGATGTCCCCCTAGAGCCTCATGCAGCTATAGGTGGTAAATTTCAGATTAAGCATGTGAAGCTGCCATGGAGGACGTACACAGTGGATGCCCAATCCTGGGTATGAATGGCATCAATCAATTGATTTATACCCTGAGTGAAATCTATAAGGGAGGGAAGGAACGCAGACCTGCTGCTTTCACTGTTGTTTGCTGCTCTTTTTCAGCCACATGTTTGATAATGAGCTTGCCTGTATAAGAAAAGCATAGTGATCAGGAGATTACAGCTTAAATCCTTGATGCCATTAGCTCACCTCCTGCCATACTTCTCCCCAGCCACCTTGTCAGCTCCCTCTCCTGGGAATACTTTGGGTGTCTTGTACGGTGATGGCTTGCCTGGGCAAGAAATGGTGCACTTTGGCCCTCTGTATTTCCACAAGGATCCTGCCCTCAAGGCACAATATTTCTGTCAATTTGGGAATGTGTTTCATATCATTTGCCTTCTTCTACACATTTCATACTTTAGTTATCTGCATCTTACATCCTAGACATTCACAACCACAAATTAAAGATTTGATAAATTTTATGTTTGAAGAAATTAAATATTCATGACCTTATGGTGTCCCTGTTCCCCTTCACTACATGAACTAAGCTCACCTCCTATCAGTATCTGTTTCACATTATCAAGATGTTTCACCAAGGAATTTGATTCCCAGTGCATGGGAGAAGCTTTGGAACATGGCTCCCACCCTGTAAGACCATGCCCAGCATCCCAAATCACTGAAGGATGCATGGGGAGTTCCTGTAGGCCTAATTGGGCCATACCTAGTAACTTTCAAGTGGCTAGCAGGAGCCTGAATCCAGTCAAAGGATGGAAAACAATAATTCATCTATCAGGTTCCCAAAACAAAGCAGGAGTAGCTATTCTGTTTACAGACAATGTGAACTTCAATAATGATCAGAAGAGATAAAGAAGGTCACTACATTCTAGTTAGGGGAAAACTTCAAAAAGAGATAACAATCTTAAACATATATACACTAAATGCACCCAGCTATCCAAATATTAACAGAAATGAAAAATCAAATAAGAAATAACACAATTATAACAAGAGACTTTAACGCACCATTAACACAAAGGGACAGATCAACCAGACAGAAAATCAGCAAACAAATAAGAGAACTGCATCACACCTATGAACAAATGAACTTGATGGACATATACAGAGTGTTCCACTCAACAACATCAGAATATACATACATTCTTCTCAGCAGCACATGAAATGTTCTCTAAAATGACCATATACTAGCCCACAGAACATGCTTAAGTAAATGAAAAAAAATGAAATTATACCATGCCTGTTATCAGACCACAGAGCCATGAAACCAGAAATTAATGTTAAAAGAAACTGCAGAAAAGCCACAAACACATGGAAATTTAATAATACACTCCTGAGCAATCAGTGGATCAGAGAGGAAATTAAACAAGAAATTAAACAATATCTACAAAAAAATGAAAATACAAATACATCTTACCAGAACCTGTAGGATGCAGTAAAAGCAGTCCTCAGAGGAAAATTCATTGCACTGAGTTCCCAAATCAGGAAAACAGAATGAATACAAATAAAACAACCTGATGCTATACCTCAAATATCTAGAAAAAGAACAGCAAGTCAAGCCCAAAACCAAAAGAAGAAAGGAAATTATAAAGATCAGAACAGAAATCAATGCAATAGAGTCTAACAAAACAATACAAAGAATCAATGAATCAAAGGGTTGGTTCTTTGAAAGAATAATAAAATTGATAAACCCCTAGCCAACCTTATTTTTAAAAGGAAGGAAAAAACTCAAATCCATGCAAAAATGAATGAAAAGGATGAAATCACTGCAGACCCTGTAGAAATACAGAAGACCATCAATACCTATTTCAAAAAACCCTACTCTTATAGGCTTGATAACAAAGAAGAAATGGACAGATTCCTAGAAACATATGAATTACCTAAGCTGAGTTGATAAGATGTAAAACTGCTGAATAACCCAATTTCAATTAACAAAATTGAAAATGTAATTAAATCCTTACCAACAAAGAAAAGCCCAGGTCCTGATGGATTCACTGTGGAATTCTACAAGAAATCCAAAGAAGATTTAATGCTGACACTTCTCAAACTCTTCAATGAAATTGAAAGAGAAGAAATTCTCCCTAACTTATTCCTGGAACAAATATTATGCTAATACCAAAACCCGAGAAAGACCCAACCAAAAAAGAGAACTACAGGCCAATCTCTCTAATGAACATAGATGCAAAAATTCTCAATAAAATACTGGCAAACAGAATGCAGCAAATCATCAAGATTTATACACCATGACCAAGTGGGATTCATCCCAGGAATGCAGGGATGGTTCAACATATGCAAATCAATAAATGTAATCCACCATATCAATAGAGCCAAAAGTAAGAATCACATGATCATTTCTATAGATGCAGAAAAAGCTTTTGATAAGGTCCAACACTCATTCATGATAAGAACCTTATAGAAAATCAGAATAGATGGTTTTTACCTCAATATGATAAAAGCCATCTGTGACAAACCAACAGTCAGCATCATATTAAATGGCCAAAAACTGAAAGCTTTTATCCTAAAATCAGGAAGAAAACAAGGATGTCCATTATCACCAGTCCTGTTCAAGATAGTACTGGAAATATTAGCCGGAGCAATTAGACAAGAGAGAGAAATAAAAGGAGTAAGGATAGGAAACGAAGAAGTTAAATTATCATTATTTGAAGATGACATGATATTCTACATAGAAGACCCCTAAAACTCCATTAAAAGACTCCAAGAAATAATAAATAAATTCAATAATGTATCTGGATACAAAATCAAAAATCAATAGCATTCCTATACGCTGACAACAAAATCACTGACAGAGAGAAATAAAAGAAGCCACACCCTTCACAATAGCATCCAAAAAAATGAACTACTTAGGAATAACCTAACAAAAGAAGTGAAAGATCTATTCAAGGAAAATTATAATGCCCTGAAAAAGAAATCAAAGAGGATATCAGAAAATGGAAAGACATCCCTAATTCATGGATAGGAAGAACAAATATTGTGAAAATGACCATTCTCCCAAAGTTGTTATACAGATTTAATGCAATCCCAATCAAAAAAACCATTAGCATACCTCACCGATCTAGAAAAATCAATCCTAAATTCATCTGGAACCAAAAGAGACCTAGAATAGCAAAGGCAATTCTAAGCAACAAGGGCAATGTAGGAGGCCTGACTTGAAGTTATAAAATCCCTAACTTGAATTTTACTATTGACCAGGGTGCAGAAGGGAAGATAGAGTCTAGACATATCCCAGAATTGAGATGAATGCTTCTGAATATCAGTTGATACAAGGCTGCTCAGTGAGGAAGAAACCGAAAATAATCAATGGTTAAATCAGCAAATGTTCAAGGGAAACACATGAGAGGGTAACAAGAAGCCCCAGATCATCGTAAGATTGGGTTCTGCTCAGGAAGTGGTGGGTGAGTGTCTGAGCAGGACACAGACTGCTCACACAGTTAAACAGCAGAGGTCATGCAAACACACACATAAACACATACACACTGTTAATAGTAACATTCGGTTAACACACAGATATGCATCAACCTATCACAGAGACATAAACCACAGAGTTGCAGAGGAACAGTATGAGCCAGGGAAGAGCACGGTAGACTGACAGGAAGGCACAAAGGAGCTAATGGCTTAAATGAGGCCCAGAATAATAGAAGCCTCAAAATACGTGACTGGAGACACATTAAAGAGCTACCCAGTCCAAGAACACAGCACCTCCATGTATTGTCCTAGCCAGTACTCTCACATGTATTGCTACACAGATCCATGTGCACTGCTACCTACTTACTTCATTGTCTTATAATCTCCCTAGTGCACATGAACTCCATATTCTCCTGTTGTTTCCCATACTGTGCATATATTAATAATTATTCCTACTTCTATATGACCCTACATTCATCATATTGGATTTTTTTCTGTTTGTATAAATAGAAGTGCAAAATATATACTTTTTTCTGGTCTTTTTAACTCACTGTTGTTTTGTGAATGTTATCCACGTAGCACATAATTATAGTGTGCATAGTATTATTCCTTCATAAGTTGCATTTCATAAAGAGAAATTATTTATTGATTATACTTTGCTGAGCATAAGGACTGTCTTTACTATGGGTAAAATAAGACTCTGGTCAATAGAGCCCCCATACCTTCATCCAGGAATTTGCTTCCATAGGGGAAGTCCTCTGAGATAGAGGAAGAACTAACCCCCACGTCATGGTCTTGAATTGGGACCAGTGGCTTGGCCCTGCCCTTTACAACAGCTTAGAAATCCAGTTCTCCAAGAAATGAAAGAAAAGCTGAGACATAGTTCTATTTTGGTGTTTTATGTGTATTTATCCAATGTTAAATAAATCATGGGTCTACAATTTGAAATCTTCACTGACTGTACATTCCCTGCTTCTCAAGAGTAAAAAAATATGGATTCTATTAGTAAAATTCTAAATGTAGAGCAACATTTACTCTGTCAGTTCTTATTAGAGATCATTACATCTGCACAGTGTGTCATTGGTAGAGAGACTGCTTGTTGCCAACTTTCAACTTGGACAACCACTGAGGTTAGTTCTGATCTTGTGATCACATTTTGTACAAAAAATACAAAAACCTGAAAACATTTATATGGATGCGACTGTTCACAGAGAAGTCCTCAGACACATTTTCATTATCTTAACCAAAATGAGATGTTTTGACTCCTGAGTCAACAATTTTTATAATGGTATAGTTGTTCCTGGCACATACACAGCTATATTTTTATGAAATATTTTCTTCAGTTCTATATACCATAATTTATTCATTAACATAGAAAAAGGTACTGTTGAAACATAAAATTCCTTTTACTTTACAGTGCCCTAGGAAAGAAGGCAAATGAAAGAAGACACATGTTTAAAAGAAAAAATTAATTTGACTATGTATATGACAGAGTGACCCAGTCCTAAGGAACAGCAACAAGACCTGGGTCATCTGAGCCTTCCCTCACTCCCAAACTATATGAATCTTGAGAAAGACACATACCTCTTTCTCCTTCACTCTTTCACTCACTTCTCCTTTTTATCTTTCTACTGTCCCTGTACACAAGTGGAAACTCACTCTTTCCCACTTTAGAAGGCAAGTCCTGGTTCCCTGTGCCACAAGAATATGCTAACTCATACCTCTTTTACATTTTGACTTTTTCCCAGGCTGTTGTAAGCATGTCTTCTCCAGGTGTTTCTTCTTCTCTTTATGCTTCATAGCTGAACTCTTTAGAGAATTACTAATATCAAGTGAGATTCTGAGTCTCTTTCAGAGAATCATTAATGATGTTAAGAAATAAAATGTATATACCCACAAACAATAAACAACGTAAGACACTGTCTGTTCACCGGATGGCTGTCCTCTCTAAAGCTCAGTGTGGCACCATGGTTGATGTGATTCCAGTATGACTGAAGTCTCAGCAGTGATTTGTGACCTGTTGATGACATACATATCCTTGCACTGTTACATCTCCATTGGTTCACATAGATAAGCCAGAATAATCATCCTTGTTCACTTAAGCCTATCAGCAGTGATCCTTTAGCTGTATAAAGTACCATACCCATCAAATTTACAGAAAGTGAGTCTGACATTGTGTGGAATACTAACGAGGACTTTTTTGGCCTACCCTACAAAGATAAAGTCAGAATCAGAGAATAGTTCTATAGTAAAATTCAGTAGTGCAGAAATAGAAATGCATTATGGTAGCCATTGCTGATTTCCTATCACTTTATTTTAAAGTTCCCTAATGCCTTTATTCTTTGTTTTGATTGATTTTAATCTATTTTCAATCATTTGATTTCAATATGTGTGAAAGTATAGACAACTATTTTGATGAAAACCAGAAAAATTATGGAATTCTTTATTGATTTTCCTATTATCTGGTTTTGAAGGCCTGTAATGCTTTCATTTTTTTGTTTTGATCGGTTTTATACTATCTAGTTTTGTTTGAATTCATTGTATGTGAAGATACGGAAAATTATTTCGAAGAAAACAAGAGACACTATGGTAGCCATTGTTGATTTCCTATTGTCTTGCTTTGAAATCCTGTGTTGCTTGCATTGTTTTGTTCTGATCTGCTTTGTTGTGTTTTACTTTGTTCTGTTTATTCTCTTTAAAGAATAGAAATCCAAAACTGAGCAAAAAAGTAGGAAAAATGGCACCGCCACCATGCTACATATTGACAGAAACAAACAAACATTTCACTTGCAAATTAAGCCGTAACCACAAGGACAGAACCATTACACAGGAATGATCAGTGTTGTAAAGCTTTGGCAAAAACCAGGAGTGCAACCTGCAACACTACTATGAGGAGGTTAGGGCAGGAGGGTCATTGAGAGTTAGACTGTAGCCAGGACTACATAATCACACTCTGGGCAGCCTGAACTACACAGTCTCAAAAACCCTGTCTCAAAACACCAAGAACATAAATAATAAAGAAATAAAACTTTGTCACCTGCAGTCAGTAAACAAGAATTCCAAGAGAGGGATGATAAATGAATGTAAATAAGTATGTATGAGGAATTCAGAGTTCTGAAAATGAAGTGCTAAAATACAGGCAGTAGGTTTGTCCTAAGTGGCTTTTATCAATTTCAGGTAGTTCTTTGTGTGTATATTTTCATCAGAGTTTTTCACACTGAGGGATGTTTGAATTCTTTCAAAGGTCTTTCCTGCAACTATTTAGATGATTATGTGATTTTTTTCCCTTCTGCTTATGTGGCATTTTCCATTTCTTCATTTACATACATTGACCAAACCTTGCATGCCTTGGAGGACTCACACTTGTTCATGATGTATGACCTTTTTTACAACTTATTTGCTGACAAATATTGTTTTATTTAAAGTGAAAGAAACAACAAAAAAAATACATGGAGATAAAAAAAAAGGGTAGAAATAATACAGAATTACAGAAAAATAAACAGTAAGAAATCACCAGTTGATAAGTTACATATTGTCATCTTAGAAATAGTTGTTCAGGTTACAAAATTAAAGTATGTAAAGTGACATTCAAATAGTGACACTGCCAACAGTTCTGGTCAATAATCTAACAAAAACTTAGTAATATGGTTATGACTTATCTTTTATCTTAAAGAGGGTAAGATTAAACATATCAAAACAGAACAAAACATTTCAAAAAAAACAACTTAAAGAAATACAGATTTCAAAGCAAGTCCACTGGTGTTCTTTACAGTTTATCCAATTGTCTCTAATTTCTTCCAAATAGTTGTCCCCATCTTCACACACATTAAATACATACTGCATATTATAGAACTAATCAAATCATTACAGGATGATAAAGGCTTTTTAGGTCTTCAAGATCTGACATTGGGGAAGACAATAATAACTACCATCGCGTCTCTCATTCTCTTCATAGTAGCTGTACTTATCTTTACATATGCTGAAATTGAACTTAAGAGACTAGACTAATATCACTCTGATCAGTGAATAATAGTATTGCTAGATTTTGTATCATAATGCTACAGAATTAGCATCGGTTTCTTAGTGTCTCTTCTTCTTCAGAGTATCTGTTCATTACATCATATCATCATTGCATCATATAATCTGTTCCCGTAAATAGTTTTTTAAAAAATCTTCTCATGTGTGAATTTCTACATGTATATCTATCCTCTCTGTATTATAGGGAAAAACAAATCATAACAAGACAGCAAAACAAATTCCTAGAAAAACATGCAATGAAAAAGACACATAAGAGCACAATATTAGGTGATCTACTGTAGTTACTATGCTTTCTCTTGTTATTTTCAATAGACTTGTCCACATAATCAGGCTTAATATAGTTAAGGATAGCCGGGCGTGGTGGCTCATGCCTGTAATCCCAGCACTCAGGAGGCTGAGGCAGAAGGATCATTGTGAGTTCGAGACTGTCTAGGCTACAAAGTGAGCTCAAGGCCAGCCTGAACTGCATGGTGAGACCCTGTCTCAAAAAGACAAAAAAATAGTTAAGCATAGTATTAAATAGCTATTTTTATAAAAACACAACTTTGAAAACATTGTAGGACTTGAGAGCTGTTAATAATCAATACCTGTATGGATATCTTTTTTTAATCAATAAGTATAATCAAAGAAGTATGGATATCTTTTACATCTTGTCATCTTCAGAGTAGTTGCTTGTACTTTTATGGTTGATACTATCAAGCACACCAAATTCAAATAAAATCAGCCAAGGCAAAACCACGGTCTAATGAATTGGATTCAAATAAGATCAGTCATAGTAAGATAATGTAAGTAATACAGGGTTTCAGTTTAATAGGAAATTAAGGATAGTTACCATGATATAACCTGCTATTTTTGGGTCAGATGTCTGTGCCCTCAAATTTGATATGAGTGGACAGACAGGAACAAATTAAATTCAAACTAAATAGGGCGAAACTACATAAGACTAAATAAATAAGACTACTGTGTCTTTTAAATCCTGATACACTATTAACAATGACCTCTGCCTTTTTTTATAGTGTATCAAACCTATCTATACTAAAGGTTATAGCTTACCGTCTCTGTCTCATGTCTGCTACTCCACTTTACTGCTATAATTTGTTCACCTTACTCCCTCATTCCACTGTCTGCCCCATTCATTGAGGCCTCTCTATCACTGTTCCTGGAATCCTGGTATCCCTTCCTATCTTTCTCTGGAATGTCCTTCAGCACTCTCTGTAGGATTGGGTTGGTGGCCATGAACTCCCACAGTTCCTCCTTGTCTTGGAAGTATCTTATTTCTCCATTAATTTTGAGAGAGAGTTTTTCTGGGTATATGAATCTTGGTTGCAAATTATTTTCTTTCAGGACTTGTAATATTTCCTCTCATTCCCTTCTCAATTTGAGAGTTTGTGTTGATAAGTATGTTGTTATTTTGATAATTTTTCCATTGTAGGTTATCTGCTTCTTTTCCCTGGCTGCTTTTAGTATTCTGTTCTTTTGGTGGATTTCTGGAATCTTGATTATTATATGTCTGGGTGTAGATCTGTTTTGGTTGTAGGTAGCTGTTGTTCTGTATGCCTCTTTTATCTGTATATCATTTCTTTTTCCTAGACTTGGGAAATTTTCCTTTAACATATCTGTGAATATTCTTTGTATTTCATTTTTGGTTACTCCTGCTTTATTCTTAAGTTATATATCCTTTTGTCAGCTTCTAGTCTTTGAATTGTTGCTTTCTGGTTCCTTGTTATTTTTAAGAGGTCTTTTCTTTCATGATCATACATCATAAATCTCTCTTCAAGTTTCAAAAGGCTAACTTTAGTTTCTGTCAAGGCATTTTGCCAGTATTCAATGGAGTTTTTAGTTTCCTGGTAATCTCTTTGGATCTGTTTCATGTATTCTAGGTTATGTTTAAATTCTTCTTCAGAAGTTTCTGTTTCTTTTCTGATTTCCTCTGTTCATCCATCTGTGTTCTCTTGGGCATGGCTTATCATTCCTTTAATTAATCTCTATATCTGGCCTCACTTGGATCAGGAGTACCGCTTTAAATTCATCTATGAGATCATGAAGGTATTTTTTTATTTCAGCTGATGCTGTGTCTAGTATTGGATGGTTATTGTGCTGGTTCTCTTCTGTGTTTACTTCTCCTGGGCTTATTTTCTCACGTTTGGCAGCTGGAGATTTTTTTTTACTTTTATCTCTTGTCATGTTTCTGGTTTCTTTCAGATTGGAGTGTCCTGGGGGTCTCTGGCCCTCTCCATATTGCTTAGGGCCTTTCTGAAGCATTCTGACTTGAGTTTTTGCTGCCCTCTCCAATTTGCTGTTATCTGAGGTAGGCAAGGATGCAGGGACAGTGCAGGCTAGCCTCCAGCCTCTGTGCCAATCAATCCGCAAGTTAGGCTGTACTTCGTGGATATCACAGAGTCATGACTATTTTGTAACTGCTTTTTGGGTCCCAACCAGAGGCTTGGTTCAGCCCCAGCAGATCCTGCCAGTTCTCTCTCTGCCAGAAGCGGCTAACTAAGTCACCGCAGCATAGGGCTCTGTCCAAATCCCAGCTGTCCTCTACCAGACCTATCTGTGCCAGGAGCAACTATCTAATGTCACTTCGGTGCCAGGTCTGCCCAATTCCAAGATGTCCTCCACTAGTCCACTCTGTGTCACTGATGCCATCACGGTGCTGGGCTCTGCCCAATTTCAAGATGTCCTGCATCAGACCTCTCTGTACCAGGGGCAACTGTGTGATGTCACCAAGCCTTGGGCTCTGCCCAACTCCAAGATGTCCTCCATTAGACTCTCTGTATCACTGATGCTGCTGTAGTGGCGGGCTCTGTCCAATTCCAAGATGTACTCTAGCCAGTGACAGCAGCTGCGGGGGACCTAGTCCCTAGTACTCACCGGGACTCAATGCAGATCTTCCTCTTGGTTCCACTGCACACTGTGCTGCTTGTCTTCACTGCATTCCCGACACAGTACTGAACAGTCAGAAAACTGCACAATGTTCAGCTTTGGAGCTCTGGAACTTCTCGCACTCTCCTCCAGCGCAGCCAGATGGCCCTGGCTGCTTTGCGGGGTCCCAGGTCTCAATTTCCTCTTGGATCCACTGGTCGGTTTGCCACATTAAAGATGCAGGATTCACAGACTCCTGTTATTGGCAGCCACAGTCTCATCACCACCTTAAATCCTCCGGTTGTACCTAGTACAGTGTGGAACAGGGCTCAGTGAGTACATCGGGCTTCAGCTCTCTATCCATGCTTTTTGTTCCTTTTCCCAGTTTTATTTTTCCTTTAGTTACCGCCTTGGTTAATAAGAATCATTATCCATTTGTCTGGCCCTCTCCATGTTGTCATATTCTAGCATCTAATATGATTTCTCCACAGAGACTCTCTGTCCAAACCCCTAGCAAGCTGCCATTTTTGAAAGTCTCTTTGCTGATGAGTATATTTATGAGAAGTTTCACAACTATCTTCATTAAAGATACTGCCCTATAAATTTTAATTTTTGTTGAGTTCTTGACCTGTTTTGGAATCATAATAATGATAGGTTCAAGAAATGACACTAGCAATGTTCTTTTCCTTTGATTTTCATAGAAGAGTTTGAACATTGGTAGTAGTTCTTCATAGAAATCATGATGAAATGTAGGTGTCAGTAAGTGAGCACTGGAATCTGGGAACTGGGGCTGCAGGAGGTGAGTTCCAGCACACCAGTTCAGGCCTGAGAGAGTTTAAGATCATCGCTCCCAGCGTTTAAGTGCCTGCCCAGCTTCCAGGCACACTACACTAAGCCTGGGAAGTTTTGCGGCCTGACTAGATCACGCACAGCGAACTTCTTCAATCAGGGGAGCTAAGGGCATGTGAAGTGAGTTCCAGCACATTGGTGCATGCCCGGGGAGAACTTTGGATCATCACTCACAGTGGTTAGGAGCCTGCCCAGTTTCCTGGAACACTGGAGGTGGCACTGGAGGTGGCACTGGAGGTCCTGTGGACCTAACTGGACCATGTTCAGGAACCTCCATTCAGTCCCAGGAGCTGAGGACATAGGAGGCAATTTCCAACACGCCCAGAGGAAGCTTTGGAGCATCACTTGAAACACGGAAATATAGGAAAATGACAAAATGAAAGGGCCAGAATGCAATCTCAAACCTGCAGCCCATCCCAAGAAAGCCTAGGAACCATGTACACAGAAGAAAATATATGCCATACACCTGAAATACCTGAAATAATAGCAACTGAAATAAAGAAGCAACTCTGGGAAGCTTTAAAGGATTCAAACTAGAAATAATCTCCCAGGTAAAAGAAGAAATGATAAAAGTAATAAAAGAGATGCTGAACACATCTAAAGGAGACACAGTTAAAAAAAATTAGAGGAACAATGCAAAAATATAGACTGCCTGGATGAACAATATGAGAAACAAACAGAATACATGAAGCAGATTCAAAGAGATATGAAATCAAAAATTCCATTGAAAGTTGTCAAAATTGACTAAACAAAACTGAAGATAGAATTTCAGACATCGAAGACAAGATTGCAGCTAGTGAATGGGAAAGGAAAGATCTTTTCAAAACAATAAAGAATCAGGAAAAAAACAATTCAGCTGCAAGATGATTCAAAGAAAAACAACATAAGATAGGGATAAATGAAAAAGAAGGGGACAACACAAATGATATCAAGAGGCTATGTACGGAAGTAATAGCTGAAAATTTCCCAAACATGAGAATGGAAACTGACATTACGATTAGTGAACATATAGGACTCCAAATAACCATAATCAAAATGAAACTACACCCAGACATATAATAATCACCATCCCAGAAACCCAACATAAGAATACAATATTAAAAGCTGTTAGTGACAAAAGACAGATCACCTATAAAGGAAAGCCCATCAGAATCACAGCAGACTTTTTAACACAAACAGTGAAGTCAAGAACAGCATGGAGGGAAGTATTTCAGATCCTAAAGCAAAATGACTTCCAACCCAGACTGATGTACCCTGAAAAATTGTCCTTCAAAATGGGTAGAGAAATAAGATACTTCAATGAGAAAGTAAGTGAGCACCTGGGTTGTTGGGCGCAGGCGCTCAACATACCATACTCCAGCCAGGACTAAGGACCACGCCAGCTTCCGCAATGCGCTACGTCCCTCTTTAAATTAGCCAACCCGTGTGCACCCCGCGCTCTACTCCGTACTCTGTGGCAACTCCTGATTGGCCACAGCTGGATATAGTAGCCAGAGCCTGCATCCCATTCCCGCCCTGCTTCCTTGTGGCAGCCTGTGATTGGTCACGGCCAAATATATAAACCAGAGCCCGCGTAAATAAACTAGCAGTTAACTGTCGTCCACAAAAGCGTCTCCTGTCTCCTGTTTCATTGGAGCTGCGCCGGTCAACTGGTGGCCCATACGGGGAGCCCGGAACGCTGAGACCCTCTCTCTCCAACAGTACGGGAACGAACCTCTCTCTCCGACGGAACAGAGACGTCAACAGGTAAAATCGTCAAGCGCCAATAGCGGGGGCTACTTGGCGGGCGAGGGCTGACAGGTTAAACTGCTCAACGTTGGTAGCGGGTGCTACGCAACAGGGCCGGATAGCGGGGGCTATTGGGCAACCTTGGGCGGACGCATCGCAAGGGTCAGGAACTTGTAAAGAGAGTTCCGGGGGCTGTAAAGAGGCCGGTTTTGGGGGCGCCGTAAAGGGGCGCGGGGACTAAGCTGTCCCTGTATTAAAAAAAAAAAGGAAAAAGAAAAAAAAGTAAATAAAAATAAAAAGAAACTCTTGAAATTCCAGTTAACATGGGTAACACGGCTACTCAGCCACTGTCAGTCGCCTTAAGAGACTTACTGAGAGAAAAGGGATTACAAATGAAATGAGAACAAATTCAAAACTTTCTCGATCAGGTCGATAAGGTAGCACCTTGGTTTGGTCCCACGGGGTCCGTTACCATCCCCAGCTGAGATAAATTAGGGAGAGATCTTGACTTTACAACAAAAAATGGCCTCCTGAAGCCAGGAGTCAGACCCATTTGGGCCGTAGTGAGAAGCTGCCTTACAGACACCTCTTGTCGTGACCATATAAGGGCTGGCGCCATGGCGCTTGGTTACCATCGGGCAGAATCCTCCCGCGAGCAATCTCGTGAGTCTAGTGCCGCAGGCGAGGTGACCCCACCCAACCCAGAAACAAAGGACTCGTCAGATAATGAGGGGGAGGAAGGAGAAGTATACAAAATGGTGGATGCAGACACCACCGAAAGAGGGGAAGTCACACACACGCAGTCGAGAGGGCCCTACTCTGAGGCCATAAATGAGCTGCAACGCAGGATTTCTCAGAGTAAATGGGTCAATGAAAGCGAGTACGGGATCCCAGGGCCGCCCCGTATAAGACCTACGGCTCTACCTCCCGACCCGCCAGATTATCATGCCCACCAGAGACCCTGCCATCAGCTATGTAGCTGTCCGCAACGGGTCCAGACGTCCCCTGGGACATTCCAGGAAGACCTTTGGCATCAAGTCAAAAGAGAGGACCCAGGAGGCCTGGGCCGTTTTCTCCAGGCTTTTCCGGTTGCTATAGATGCTCAGGGAAACAGAGCCCACCTGCCTATAGATATAAAGGCGATAAAGCATCTTAAGGAGGCCAGCACCATGTACGGTGTTAACGGGGCGTATACCCTGTCCCTAGTAGAAGCCATGGCAGGAAACGCCATGACACCTGCTGATTGGGCCAGTTTGTGCAAGGCAGTGCTCAGCCCAGGCCAATATCTTGATTGGAAAGCTTGGAATGTTGAACTTGCCACAGAACAGGCCCAAGCTAATGCCCAGAATAATCAGGCCGCCTGGAACGCGGATATATTATTAGGACAAGGGCAGTATCTCAATAACCAGCTGATATTCCCACAAAAGGTATATGCACAGATAAATAAAATAGCCATACAAGCATGGAAACGGGTCTCGGCTAGGGGAGAAGTCTCAGGCCACTTGACAAAAATTTTGGCAGGAGTCGGGGCTTGCCATTGTTGATGGCCCTACCATGAGACAAAGCAGAAGCCGCATCCAAACTTATTCAAGAGCAATTAAAGTTAGGCCATATCAAACCCTCAAGTCTATTCTGTTTAAACAAAAGGAGGGTATTGCCCAGGGCATGACACCTAGGGCCAGACTAAATCTCACCCTCTTCACTTACAATTTTGTAAACATCAACCCACAAGGATCCACGCCAGCACAGCTACATGCCAACCCTGTCGCACCCAAACATGGTTGGGTACGCTGGAAAGACCTCCTGCATGGGGTATGGAGAGGCCCCAGCCCAGTACTTAGTTGGGCGAGAGCGGCGGTCTGTGTCTTCCCGCAGGAAGAAGGCAGCGAACCTGTCTGGGTCCCGGAACGCCTGATACATCCCTGCAAGCCACCAGACCCTGACCCAGAGGAAACGTCAACCACAGAACAGGGGAACCAACAGGAGCCTCACAAGCCAGACCAAGCAAGTACACCCACAACTCCCATTAACCATGGCACCTTGGCCAACTCCCCTGGTTAGTAGCCTCCTTTTCCCCTCCTTCTTGCATCTCGTACGGTCCTTGCAGCCAATGACTTTTCTAAATTGCTCCACCACAACCTGTTATATGTTACAATGTTGGGATAACAGTGCACTTTCAGCTGTTGTTATGCAGGTACTCCAGTTCGCACCGGTTCCAGTTATGGTGGACTCAGACGAGTTTCCTGTGATCCAGCTCGGGCCAACTCTCCAATTGGCTTTCATAAAGGAATGGGCAGGAACAGGGGCTCTGGCTACCATGACTACACTTGCCGCATTCGGCAGTCTACTTCTGCTCTGTCAGATTCGCAGACAAAGGAATAGGGACAAAGTACCAAACAAGCATTGCTGATCATAAAATCTGGTCAAAGCCCGGCAGCATGGCTCGCCATGCTGTGACACAGGTGTGGAGCAAAGCATCGCAGGGGGTGTCGTCCTTGGCCAGGAGACACCCCGGTCCCCATGTTGGTGAGCATGCGGGTTGGGCTCGTAAAACAATACTCCCGCCCCCTCCAAAAGAGCACCAACAAGTAGTGAGGCACTGTCATGACTGCGCAGCATGACACCTCACGAGGGGCACCGACCTCTGGAGACCCTGCGTCAGTTATAAAGAAAGGGGGAGATGTTGGGCGCAGGCGCTCAACATACCATACCCCAGCCAGGACTAAGGACCACGCCAGCTTCCGCAATGCGCTACGTCCCTCTTTAAATTAGCCAACCCGTGTGCACCCCGCGCTCTACTCCGTACTCTGTGGCAACTCCTGATTGGCCACAGCTGGATATAGTAGCCAGAGCCTGCATCCTATTCCCGCCCTGCTTCCTTGTGGCAGCCTGTGATTGGTCACGGCCAAATATATAAACCAGAGCCCGCGTAAATAAACTAGCAGTTAACTGTCGTCCACAAAAGCGTCTCCTGTCTCCTGTTTCATTGGAGCTGCGCCGGTCACTGGGTTTTTCTTTATGGAGACAGATTTATTACTGCCTCAGTTTCATTGCCTTTTTATATCTTTTAGGTTATGTTTTGATACTTTATTTCTTCTACAATGTGTTGAAATATTTCCTTTAAAATTATTCTAATTTTTGCAATGCCTAAGGCAATTTTCTCTTTTTCATTTGTAACTGCATTGATGTGAATTTTTTTTCTACATTTGGTAAACTAGGATATGTATTTAGCAATCTTGTTTACCATTCAGATTTCCAATTTTATGATTAAGTGGTTCTTTTTTTGTTTCAATTTTTCTAATTTCTGCTCTAATCTTTGTAATTTCTTTCCTTCTCCAATTTTGGATTTGGATTACTCTCCCTTTTTTAGGACTTTCAGATACATCATTATGTTATTTATTTTGGTTTTTAAAAAATTTTTGGCACTCACAGTTTAAATTTCCCCATTAGAACTGTTTTGTTGTGCCCCTTAGGTTTTGGTATATGGAGTTCATTATAATTTGATTGTAGAATCTTTTAAATTTTAAGCCTGTTCCTTGATTGATTATTCAAAAGTGTATAATTTGCTCACTGACATACTTGCATTATCTCATGACAATCAGATAGGGTGCAAAAGCCTCTATCCATTCCATTGTATTTACTTAAGCTTGCTTTATGGCCTATGTTTTGACTGAAACTATAGAAAATTCTGTATACTACAGAGAAAAAAAGTGTATTCTGCTGTTTCTTGATGAAATATTTAGTTGATATATATGTTGGATGGTATGATTCAACTGTAATTTTTTTGTCAATTCTTTGTGTTCTTGACTCTATATTAGTGAAACTGAGTTGTTGGAGTTCTACATTATGACTGTAATGCTGTCTATATGTCCTTTGAATTTTTAATCAGATTTTGCTGGTACATTTTAAATATATATAATGATTACACTCATTACAGAGAATTTGTACCTATACATGATACTGTTTTAATCCCATTGTCCTATCGGGCCTTTATCCCATCCTCCCCTCCCCATTTACAAAAGCATTTTTTCCATATTTTTCTTCTTTTCTTTTTTGTTTTTTACTTTTCTGTGCTTTCCTTTCTACAGAACCTCACTTGTTCCCTTCCACAATTGTCCATTCTTTTATAACCATTGTTTTTTCTTTTATGAAATTCAGTGCACTATCATTTGATACATAAAGATTTATAATTGTTATGTCTTCCTGCTGAACTGTTCCCTTTATACCTACCTTCTTTGTCTCTTCTGACCCAATTTGGCTTGAAGTCTACTGGGCTAGAAAATAGGATAAATAATTCTGCTTGCTTTCAGTCTCTGGTTGTATGGAGTATCACTTTCTGGCCTTCCATATTCAGCCTATGCATTTCTTTCTGGATGATGTTTATCTTCCAGTTATCAATTGGCTAAGCTTATCTTCAATTCACCATAGTGTGTCATTTCATTGGAACGTCATGGACAATAGATGTTGTTATTTAAAGCTGTTTACTGAATCCTGTAATTATACTGTTTTTATAGTGCTGATTTCTGAACTTTTTCCTTTTGTTTATCAACTCCGCCAGTTAGATATATTTTTTCCTTGGGCTCTTTGATAATGTTGACCTTACTATCTCTCCTTAGGACTTAACTGAAGTAATTCCTGAGTGCTGAATTGGTGGTCATGAGTTTCTTTAGATCCTCTTTGTCCTAGAGGGTCTTCATTTCTCCATCATTTTTCAAAGATAATTTTCAGCATATAGTGATGTGGGTTGGCAGGTTTTTTCCTTGTACTTCAGAACTTCACTCCAACTTCTCATGAACTTTAATGTTTTTGTGGAGAAATCTGTAGTTATTAGATTGCTTGCCTGTATGAGTTACTTGGTCTTTTCTGTAAGAACTTTTAGTATTTTTTGATGCAAATTTGATGGATTTTAACTATGATACCTTGTGAGGCAGTTCTTCTGTGATTATATCTATTAAGGATTCTAAATACTTTGGATAATTTCATCCCTGAAATATGGAAAAATTACTGCACTGATTTCTGTGAGTTATTACTGTTATGCCATTAGTTTCATTTTCTGTTCTTTCCCCTTTCTTGGGTAAGGGTGGAAGGATATGCATAGTATCTCACTTTGTAGTTCAGGTTGCCCTGAAATATACTGTATGGCCCAATCAAGGCCTGGTACTCATGTCAATCCTCCTCACTGAGCATGCCATGCACTGGCACGGTAGGCATGTTATAGCTGCCATAACACCTAAAATTCTCAAATTTGTTGTTTAGGATCATTTTGGGGATCATGGATCAAATTCTCATTGTGTCTTGTTAACTTTTGAGTACCTAGTAAAAGGTCTACTATATCCTCAAGTCATTTTATTCTGTCAATTCACTGACTGTGCATAGTGTAAAAGCTTTCCATTGAGTTTTTCATTTGCAGGATTTCTGTTTGATTCCTTTTGATAATCAAATTCATCACTAAAATAAACATTGCTGTCCTGTATTCACTTGTTTCAAACATTCAGCTGTTTGTCATCTGTAAGCTCAGTGATCATCTGATTATATGAATCATTTAATTTTGTCTTGAGATCAGTTAAAGTCTCAGTAATTGCTTTATATGTCTGTTTGGATCTCTGTGATTCTCTTAGCTCTTATTTGAGTTATTTTTCTTAAAATTTACTCCCTTTATTGCTCAGGGCCTCAGAATTTGGGTAGTTATGAAGTTTTGAAAGAATCTTATTGTTTATCTTCTTCTGTTTTTGTATTTATTGTCATATCTCATTTAGGGCTGAAAGTGCTGGCACTGTACTGCAGGTCCCTTGGTCAGTGGGTTTTCCCAGTGATATGCCTTTTCCTGTGAGTCTGAGTCAGTGTGAAGACACTTATTCTATCTACATTCTATAACAAATTTGAGAAGCTCTAATGCTACTAATGGTGAAAATCTTTAATGAGATTGAAAGGGAAAGAGTACTCCCAGACTCCTTCCAGGAAGCAGGTGCCACCCTAATACCAAAACCAGGGAAGTATCCAACCAAAAAAGAAAGCTACAGCTCAATCACCAATGTAAACATAGATGCAGAATTTCTCAAATAAGGTGCTGGCAAACAGAATGCAGCAAGGCATCAAGAAGACTATATATGAAAATCAAGTAGGATTCATCTCTGATATTCCGGGATGGCTCCACGTAGAAAATCTGTAAATGTAATACACCATATTAACAGAGCCAAGGACCAAAAACATATAATTATCACAATGAATACTGAAGAAGAATTTGACAAAATCCAACATGCATTCTTGATAAAAATCATACAGAAAATAGGAATAGAGTTACACAACCTCAATCTGATAAAAGACATCTATGCCAAGTCAACGCCTAGCATCATATTAAAAAACCAAAACTGAAAGTTTCTCCCCTACAATCAGGAACAAGAGAAGGATGTCCACTGTCACCACTCCTAGTCCATATAGTTCTGAAATCATTAGCGTCCCTATACACAAATGACAAACTCACAGAAAGAGAAATTAAAGAACTCCCAAGATCTGGCCATGGTGGGCTCAGGCACCTTATTCACCTTATTCACCCTCTTGGTAAGCACCTGCAGCATGGGCCTGGAGGAAACCCAGAACTCCTGAGATCCGGCCATGGTGGGACTCAGGCAGCTTATTCAGCCACCCTCTTCATAAACACCTGCAGTGTGGGCCTGGAGGAAAACCAGAACTCCCGAGATCCAGCCATGGTGGAATTCAGACAGCTTATTCCCTCGCCCCTCTTGTTAAGCACATACGGCAAGGACCAGCAGGAGAACCAGAACTCCCAAGATCTGGCCATGGTGGGACTCAGGCAGCTTATTCACTCACCCCTCTTGTTAAGTGCCTGCAGCAAGTGTCAGGAGGAGAACCAGAACTTCTGAGATCCGGCCATGGTGAGACTCAGGCAGCTTATTCACCTGCCCTCTTGGTAAGCACCTGCAGCATGGGCCTGGAAGAGAACCATTACCTGTGAGCCTACTGCCATGTGGGCTGAAAATCAAGCACCCATCTCCCACCCGCCCGATGTCTCAGCATTTCTTGGGAGGATGATCATATGCAGTATAGCAAATATGGGGGATTTCCTTCTATCTTCTGTTTGAAGGCATAGATTGTTTTCACTGTTTTGTTATATGTTTCTTTTGCTCTATACAGTATTCTCAATTGGTTTTATAATGTTCTATTTTGGTTTGATTTTGCTATACCTAATTGACTGGACAACTATTGTGAAGTTAAAGAGATAAACCATAGTACATATTACTACTATACCAGTATCCTACTGTGAAATCCTGTACCAATTTCACTGCGTTGTCTCGATTGGCATTGTTCTGTCTTGTGCTGTTCCATTTTTACTACTTTCAAAATAAAATTTAAAAAAAGAGAAATTAGAGAAGTTGTACCTTTCACAGTAGCATCACAAAAGTAACTACTATGAGTCAATGTTATGAAACAAGCAAAAGACAACTACAGTGCTCTGGAAAAGGAGACTTAAGACAATATCAGACAATATGAGAAAGTGGAAAGATGTTCTTTGTCTTGGGCATGAAGAACCAATATAATGGAACCAATTATACATCAAAATTATTATACAGTAGGGGCTAGGGATTTAGCTCAGTGGCATAAGCACCTGCCTTGCAAGCAGGCAGTCGTGAGTTCGATCCCCGGTACCGATAAAAAGGAAAAAGACAAAAAAAAGAAAAAAGAAAAGAAATTATTATACAGTTTAAATGCAATCCAAATAAAATGCCAATAATATTCCTCACAGAATTAAAGAAAACAATCCTAAAATTCATATGGAACCAGAAGAGACCTAGAATTGCAAAATCAGTTGTGGACACAAAAAAGGCAAAGCAGGGGACCTCACAATCTCTGACTTGAAACTGTACTACAAAGCTATCATGATGAAAACCGCATAGTTCTCACAAAAAAATACAGACCCTAGGATCAGTGGAACAGAATAGAAAATGCAGAAACAACCCTAAACATACTCAGTGATCTTATCTTTTAAAAAAGGGCCAAATATGTTGAGTGAAAACAGATAGCCTCTTTAATAAATGGTGCTGGGAAAACTGGCTTTCCATATGTTGAAGACTGAAATTGAACTCATATTTCTCACAGTGTACTAAACTAAAAGTCAACTGGATCAAAGT